TTTTTGCCCAATGGCCCTAGTATCAGTTCTGCATTACAAACAGCAGAGACTAGCCATTTCATGGAGAAGCATGAAGAGGAGGAGCATTGGACAAAAGGATGTCTTCTCTGCTCTTTACCCTGTGGCTAGGGGGTAATATTAGCAAGCATTTAATATCCTCTTCCAAGAACGAGACACATTCACGTCTCGGGAGGAATTGCATTTGCTGAAGTGACAAGAATCTTAATTTAGCTGCAAAACACCAGAGCGCAGTTTACATTGCATGTGAGAGGCCATGCATGCTAATATACAGTGAATCTGTTATATCATTATATGTATTCTTCAAAGAAGCAGCAGTGACAGTCTTGTACTATAACTATATATAAACATATATAAATACACTGAAATAACAACAGGCTGGAAACGTGCTACGGTGCATTTTGGAATTTGTCCTTTTCAGGATGTCTTTGGAAAAATCTACTCCCTACCAGAAAGACAGAACAGACCTCTAGGTGTACTCTGATGTGTTTAATGAACAAAAGACTCTCTTTGCTTGGCCTCTGCTGACTTGGAGACCTCAGAGTATGCCCTGAAAATCAGTGAGCACAAAGATGTTGCATTATTCAGCTTAATCTGCCTGCAGTTTGAGGAAAAGGTCAGTGTTCACCACAAATGTCTGCACGTGGAGATGAGTCTGATGATTTTTAAAAGTCAACGCTCTTGTGTACTATCGCAGATGCATGTCTTTGATCCCATTGTTTGAATAATCCGAAGCAGCAACGTGTTCTGAAAGGGGGGCAATTTCAGTGTCAGACCTTTAGGAGTGCTCAGGCCCTAAAGACATGAACCGCTTACATACTTCAATTCCTGATTCAGTGTTGGAATGAAGTTCTGCCATCACTACAGCCTGAAATGGCGTATTAATCCAGTGCTTCTCAGTGTGTAATTACACATCACACTTGTTTTGCTTGAATTCTGCCTGAATGAAAAGTTGGAGTATGCTGTTTTTACGGGTACTGTTGTTACAGTTATAATTATTTTTTTCATGTAAGAGAGGATAAACAAGATGATTCACACATCGATGTATCAATTATTATTAAACAGCTACATGATACAGAGATGTAACTCTTGCTTATTAGAGTTACTACTTTTTTATTCATAGATAAATATTTTTTCAGCAAAAACAACCAATAGTTTCCACTGTCAAGCTTTGGGACAGCTTTCTTTGAAGATTCAAGAAGAACACTTTTCAAGTCACCATTTTAAAAACCAATAAAAACACATTTTTACACATTGAAATGCAAAAAAAGCCACCGGCTGCTTTTTTAAACTTAACAGAAATAGATGATAATGAATTTATCTTAAAACAAGAGATGCCAAATGGCTAATCATGGATGAGGATTACAGATGGGAAACTTGGGTGGCCATCCAACCCTTGGCACTGATCATCAAATGTAGCAAATGGGCAAATGTAGAACCTGGAAAAAGAGGCTGATCCACTTTTTCTGTAGGTGGGCTGTCTGGCAAAGTTTTAATCTGAATTATTTAATGGCAAAGACAGGTCTTTGGCATATGTACACCTCTAGCAAGTGTTTTATACAGGATACCTGTGACTCAACCTTATCACACCCAGAGATTAAGTTTCATTATAGTCAACGCCCTGGGAGGTTACTGCCTCTAAATTCTCTCCTACAGTCCCCTTCTAGTCAGCCAAATGCAGTAGGTTTATCTTAAAACCTTAATCGGGTTCCCAATGAAATTTGGAGGGCTTTGTCTAAAGCTGTTTCCATGGTGACAAGTTGTTCTCTATGAAAGATGAAACAGATTTCTAAAAGGCTAAAAATACTCTCACACTGAAACTTGTGTCATGTTTGTGCCAACAAAAATGACTTTTTAACCCTCATTGTGAACCTAACAGGAAGTCTTAAGTTTGAAATTTTGGGAACTTTTGATTTAATCATTCGACGCTTTTGGACCCCAGAAACATTTTCATAGTTCTTATTAGGACTAAGAGCCCTCCACTTTTTAGTAAACTCTGCATCACATGACATGAGATTTGATTTCATATAAGACTGTTAGGAGGTACTTTTTTAGCTCCTGCTTCATGGAGGTACTCTCCCTGCACAAGAGGAACTGTTAGTGATAAAATCGCACAACGATTGGTCCATGAGTGTACATTAATCGGTTGAACACAAGAGCCTATTCAGCGCCACTGACTGCATTTTCAAATCCTTTTATAACAGCAAGCAAACTAACCGTAAGTGAAAGCTTTTAAAATCATTGAAAATGGAGAGAACCACCTACAAATGGACTGACAGTGGAGTCCTGGTTTTATGTGATGGAAAAGATACAGCATGCTGATAGCAGGGTCAAGTGTAAAAAAAGTACATTGTAAATATTACCTACCAGTGCACCACACTGGATTTTGACCCCACAGTAGAGCAACACAATGAGAATGTGAACAAACCATAGACTGTATATACTATGGACAACTTGGTTCTGCTTTTCACCAATATACGGA